TTCCCCTTCTGTTTCTTCCTTTTCTTCTCCTTCATCATCATACCTTTCCAATTACAAAACACTTTCACATTCATGATGCCATTTGATCCTCATCTCTTCTTTAGGGAAGACAGGTCTTACTGTCATTTTACAGATGGAGAAACTGAGGCTCAGAGAGGTCAAACAACTTGCCCAAGTCCAAACAGTGGATAAACAGTAGGGCTGAGACTCAACCCCAGGTCTTCTGATTCTAGATCCATGTTCTGCTCACACCACCACACTGTCTTTCCATGTCTGGCCTTTCTCTAGACATGTCCAGAAGCCTCCACTATAAACACAACACACCTTTGGACAAAGGAAGAGAGGAGAGGCACCCGGGGACCTGGGGTTCTGCTTGTTCTCTTCAATGTTTTCTTATGAACGTCTCTGCACAGTAGCAGTCTGTGTGTAGGAGTGTGCATGTATATTGTGTGGACACTAGGCCCATATATACCATAAAGATATACATACAGGTACACCTGACCTCTTTGACAGGCAATAGTTCTCATTACCAGGGTTGGCCTAAAGAACTCCAAGAGTCTGCTCTGTTCTAAATCTAGAAGATTCATTATGACACCTCCCACGAAGCCCACAGAAGAGGCAACTCCTCAATCCTTGGTAGAGGGGAGAAGCAGTGAGAAGGGACAGGGAATGCTCTTTCCCTGCCCTTCTATACAGAAGCCCCATCAGTGGGACCAGAAATCTACTCCTAAGCTCACTTGTTGTTGTTATTGTTATGTGCTGTTGAGTCGGGCCCGACTCATAGCAATCCCTCCTTGGGTTGCCGAGGCAGTACCACTATGGAAGTAGACTGCCCCATCTTCCTTCCGAGGAGTAGCTGGTGGGTTTGAACTGCCAGCCTTCTGGTTAGCAGTGAAGTGCCTTAGGCACTATGCTACCAGAGCTCCTAGTTGGGCCTAAATCCCAGAGTGGCAGCAGGACCACTGCTAAGCACAGCTAAGCCCCTGTGAGCACAGTGCCTCAGCTCTAGTAATGCTACGTGGGCTGTGGCAAGTCACCCACCCTGACTCGGTTTGCTTATCCCAAATGCAGCTGATGATGCTAAGTCTAGCCCAGAGGGCTGCTTTGAGGTTTCAGTGGCATAAGGAAACTGAAAATGCTTTAAAAATAAAATGCACTATTTAAAAACACTGTTTTGTTCTTCCACAACTAGCAAGCAAGGGAACTAAGGCCTGAACATGCTTGGGGAGTTCCCCATGCTCCCTTCCTTCCAGGCAGCAGGGAATACACAGGGCTGGGGTAACAAGTGGGAGTCAAACCAAAGGCAGAAGCCTACTCACAAGGGCCAGGCTGCCCTGGGCAGACAGGCTGCCCGTGCTTGTTTGCTCTCTTCTTTTCATTCAACCAATCAACATAAAGCATTCCCTACAGGGCAGGTGTTGTTCTGTGTGCCTGGAATCAGAAAATGCCCCTGGTTTCATGATACTTATATTCTAGTTGTGGAAGACCAACAATATCACTAAAAAAATATATATCTATATACACATATATGTCAAGTGGTGACAGGTGCTATGCAGAATTACACTAAGATTGACAATGACAGGAAAGCAGTATATTCCATACAGGATGTCAGAAGTCCCCTCTGGTACAAGTTTGTTTCAGCAAAGAACTGAATAAAGTGAGAGGATATTTAGGGGACAGCCATACCTTACGTCCAGACTAGAGGACACTAGAGTTCAGGGAACATGGCAACAGAGGTAAGCCTGCCAGTGGTGGTTCTTCTCATTTTTCCCCCTTGCTGTTCTGTTCACTGGAGAGGAAGAGTGCTGACCCCTACAGTCTGCATCCTCAGGTCAGTCTTGTCATCTGCCTTTTGGTTGGGTTCAGCCAAAGGGAAGCTCCAGAAAATGGAACAGGATGAGAGGTAGGGATACTGATGCTGCTCCCTCCCTCCCAGCCTAGCCATGGTTCTGGCAGTGGCTGCATTCCTCTACGCCACAACAGTCACCTACCTTCCACAGCCCATTCCTTTCATCTCAGTCAAGGGAATCATCATGTGTCCATCCTTGTCACCTGCCAGCTCCAGCTCAGATTCACATGAGCCAAGAACTGCATAACCCCAGGGCAAAGAGAGGACCGGACAGGCAGGCAGGGTGCAGTGGCCAGGAAATGGTCTTGGTTTTTCTGTAACTCATCCCCTTACCTCTCCCCTCCTGGGCTCTACAGATTAAAGGCCCATCCTCTAGGAAGTCCTACAAGCTTAGTGTCCCAGATGAGCACTGTGCACCTACCTGTACAGGAATGTGTTGGCCACAGATGCCACCTGAATTGCCTCTCCCATCAGGGCAAGAAGAGGTTAAGTTCTGGCCCTAGAGTCACCCATCACAGATGAAATGTGGACTGTGCCCTCACTCTTCTGGCCCAACACTCCAGCTCTGTCAAAATACTCACACTAACAAAGGCAGGAACAGAAGTGGGTTTCTAGAGTCCCTTGGTTTAGTCCCTCAGGACCTCACTATCTGAGGGAACACTACCTAACTACTGCCAATGCTCAACAGCTCTTTGATAGCTTTGATAGTACACACTGCTATTGGAAAAAAGGCTTACCAATGTGTGCATCTGCTTCACCTGTCAGAATGTGCATGCCACGGAAGCAGAAAATTTGCCTGTCTGTCCCGTGTGACCACCACCCTAGGCCCAAGGACACAAGAGGAACTCAATAAATGCTTTTGAATGAACAAGTGACAACAGAAATGAAGACAAGGCACCTCTGCTCCCTAATACGTCCATAAAGTTTGGGGCCACAAGTTCCGATACCAATGGCTTAAGGGTTAAGGGTGGGCAGATATCCTAGGAAGAGTCTTGGTACTGCAGGTCCATGTGGGGCAGAGACAACCACAATAACCCAGAGTCAGAGAATCACTCAAGTGCCACCAAAGGAGGTTCCACTTTACTTAAGATCCCCAGGTTCTCCATCTGAGGGGCCGTAACAGGACTGAGCTAATACACTAAGGCTCAGGGCAGTCTAGAATCGGAAGTAGCATCTAATATATCAAAGATCCTAGACTGAGAAATCCTTATGGGCAAGTGCTGCAGAAGCTCTCCCCTACTTAAGGGACTAAATCCTAGACCCTACAACTAAGTCCTGATTCAGGCTGCTCAGTATCTCTCTGCTTGGCCTGATCTCTTCAATGCCCATTCTACTCCACCCTGGGTGCCCTGTACCCCCACCCACTGTGTGGCAGCACTGCCACCAGGCCAACCCTTTTGTCCCCAAAGAAACCCAAACAGCTCACAAGTGCATCAATCGACCTTTAATGTCCAAAAGAGGCGTGGATGCAGAGCATAGGAGATGTGGCGGGGTCTCGGCCCCTGCTCCAGAAATGAAGGAGAGATGAACACAAACCAGACACTTCCAACGGGCACACAAGTCTGGGAGGGAAGGGGAAACACAGATTTGGACATTCATAGAAAAAATAAAACAAAGTAAAACCAAGCAGTCAATCTGCCACAGAGGGCTTTGATACAGGGAACTCAGCCACTGCCCCAGTCCCCACTTCTCCCCTGCCAGCATCAAAAAGAAAGCTCAGCACACACTAAAGGCTTGGGAAAAGGGGCATTCTGCTCTCTACCAGTCCCAGTGATGGACTGGAAAATAAAATGAGCTGGATCCCCATCCTCCAGTGTCAGCCCTACATTGAGAGTTTTGAATCCAAATTCAAGAGAATTAGCAGCTCAATCAGCTTGACCCCCAACCCCAGCCCTATTTCATCAACAGACAAGATTTCCCCAGCATTCTCCTTGGAATCTCTTCCTACTTGTGGCCCTGCTCCACCCTCCAGATACCTGGCTTCATCACTCCAAGACTGATCTCCTCCAAAGTTCCCCTAAAGCCCCTCTTAGCCTCTATCACTTACCCACCTACCTCCCATTGGAAGCTATAACCACCCAGTCACTTTCCCTCTCCATTGAGACGCACTCCAGCGTAGAAGACAACACAGCGTCTCTCTCCAGGTTGTCCTAAAACCTTCACAGCGAGCAGATAGCCACAGGGCAAGCAGAGGATTTGGGCCAGGTCCTGAGGGAGATGACACCTGTCTTCACCTCCCCGAATAGACACCTCTAGGTTTTTAACATAAAGGCCCACTTAGAACTCTTCCCTCTACCTACCCATAACACCCTACAGATTCCACACTGTCCTGCCCCTCCCTCCCCTCTACCTTCAACCAAAACACACACACACACATACACACACACAGAGGAGAATCAAGGGAGACATTGATTTGGTTTGATTGCTAAGACCTAACTAAGGAACTAGTCACCAGAAATTCCCTCGCCAGCCAACTAACAGGGGCTGCTCTAAGAGAACTCCAGAGGAATGAGAAAACTGAGGGCTAAGCAGGGAGCAGACAGGAGGGGAGAAGAGAGAATGAAAAGAAAAAAAACCAAGCTAATCCTACCCCAATATCCTCCTAGCATGAGCACTGGCAGGAAGATTAAAAGGTAACCCACAAAGACACAGCCCTTACTTAGAAACTCTTCTGACAAAGACAGCAAGACAAGTCTGCTCCCCACTCCCACACACCACAGACAAACACGTCTCAGGGCCCCTTAGAGAATCCAACCCCCGCCCCACCCTCTGCCCCAAGCCGTAGAATCACAGTTCAGTGGAATACTCTCCCTGGTACTAGAGCTATCCTCCCACCCTCCTTCCTGTCCCTCTCTCCCTGTCAACTCTGACACTGTCCCCCTGCAGCCTCCCAGGCCCTCCCAAAGCAGCATCCACCACCAGGAAGAGGCAGCTGCACAGTTTAGTTCCACCTCCAGAGCCCTGTTTCTTCTCCTTAGCCCTCCCAGTCTTAGGGGCTTAGTTGAGGGCTTTGCATTTTGTAGAGGGAGAGAAAGAGAAAAAAGAGGGATAAGGAGAGATTTCCTAGTGCAATACAACCAAAAAAAAAAAAATTTAAAGTCTTGAAAATTAAATGTAAAGCAGCCTTCTTCCCCAGGCAACTAAACAGAAAGAAGTTTGGTTTTGTTTACTGCGACATACACATGAAATCGAGTATACAGTCCATGCAGTAGCACAGCCATTGGAGAGGACATCCTGGTGCTGGCCCCCAGTGCAAAACAGTCCCAGCAACGCCGCCTGCCTGCCATCGCTGCCGCCGCCACTGATGCCTTCACCGCGGCCACCTAGCCTGACTTGAAGAGGAGGATTGCAACTTGACCCAAGTAAAAATAGATGAAGTGCTTTGTCTCGTGTGTGACGTAGCTGCCAAAGTTTCGGCCCACGATACAATGCCAGGTAGGGTTATATTTCTTGTCAAATTCCTAAAAGAAGAATGAAAGGAGAGAAAAAGGTGATTAAGAAAACAGGAGGGTGGGAACCAGAATGGGGGGGGTCTCCCTGTAAGTTCAACACTAACACCCATTTAATTGTTATCATCCCCACACCCCACCCCACCCCACCCCAGGGCCTCGGCTCTCTGAACCTCAGGAGCTCAGGTTCTAAGGCTGGCTAGGACACATCTCTTCTCATTAATAATGTAACACCACAAAGCTCCATTATTTCTCTCAGCTGAGCCTCTAGCACTTTATATACCAGCATCTCTCCTCCCTCTCACCATTCCACCCCTGACCATCCATCCTCGACTCTGTGATCTCTTAGCAGGATCAGAAAGGCCAGTACAATAAAAGACCACTCTAACATCACACAGCACAGGTACAAACAAGGAGCACGCCTCCCTTACCCACTGCCTTTCCCTTTGTCATTGTTGTTGTTATGTGCTGTCGAGTCAGACCCAACTCATAGCAAAACCTCCTTGGGTTTCCAAGGTATTATCACTAGGGAAGTAGATTGCCCAACCTTCCTTCCCAAGAGTGGCTGGTGGGTTTGAACTGCCAGGCTCCTGGTTAGCAGTCAAGTCCCATAGGCACTATGCTACCAGAGCTCCCTTTAAGAAAACCAAAAAACCAGAACACTATAGGGAAATAAGAAACAAACATCAAGAGTACCAGGAGAAGTTCTATGTAAGTCACCATTAAAGTCACTTTCACATGCCAGGCACTGTGTGGGCTGGACTGTAAGCTCCCAAACAAGGACCTCGTCACGAGATCCAGACAATCACCTCATTTCTCTCAAGGGCAGGAGTTCAGCATCCAAACAGCCCACAAAATCTCAGATCTAATCAGGCAGGCAGTTCATTGCCATCGGTGGATACAGCAGGAAACAGAGGGCTCAGTTCTAGGTGTATCCTACCATAGACATGCATACCCTACTTCTCATAGGCTACCAGTGCTGCCAAACCTGAGGCTGTCTCCCAGGTGCTTAACACACAACTTGCTCAGACTACTCACAGCCCCCATACCACAATCCCAAGAGGTAGTAGGAGACAGTGGAAAGGATACAGGTCACCAAACCCAGCTTCAGTCCTGGCTCAAGACTATAACACACATGGGAGAACAAGTCAATTCCCTAGGTCTCATTTTCCGATGAACAAAAGGAGCTGGCTGGACCAGATAATCTAAGGATTCTTCTAGTACTGAGAGTCCAGGATTCTGGATTATCTTCCTGAACAGAACAGCAAGGCCACCACTCAGCAGAGAGCCAGCACCCCTACTTGGTTCTACACACACAAGGCCTCCTAGGACTCCAGAGTGTCCTTCTCACCCCATCCTCTGCATACAGAAGCAGAGCTCTGCAAAACCACATCCATGGACCAGAGTGCTACCACTGCACGAATCATTCTTGGAATGCCAGAGCTAAGAATGCCAAGACTATGCCTCCCATGGGTATAGGTCTCACTCTCCACTTGTAAGCTCAGCTGCTTCCTCACCATGTTACCCAAACCCATTTAGCCATTCACTCAGGAATTTGTCAGAGACCAAACCCATCACCTAGATATTGCTCACATATTGGAAGGGGGAAATAAATAAATAAATAATATATACATATATTTTCTAGCCCACCCTTTTCTTAAGACTGTAGAAAGAAGGGGATGATGCAGTATCTGTTAGTACTTTTTAAGAAAAGAAAACACCCTACATGATGGGGGTTATTACAGGGATATCCCATTTTAAATGATACTTAAAAAAAAAAAAACACACACACAAAAAAAACCTCACTCATAGAGTCGATTCGACTCATAGTGACCCCTCCTTGGGTTTCTGAGGCAGTATCTCTACAGAAATAGATTGCCCAACCTTCCTTCCAAGGAGTGGCTGGTGGATTTGAACCAACAGCCTTCTGGTTAGCAGTCAGATGCCTTAGGTACTACACCACCAGAGTTCCCTTAAATGACACAGTTCTCTTAAAATTTACATATGATCTTATATCCTTGATGCTCATTTTGGATAGTTCTGAATTGAGCCATTTGTATCTTAGCTTGAAGTTTTTCTACATAATGTTATCTTTCTCCGATGCTGTGTAGTCATGTAATTGTCTGTGAACACATACACACACACTAGCAGAGCGCCAACAAAGAACTTCTGAAGTGAATGCTTTGGCAAGTAAGAATCACCCCCTAATCTGCTTTGCAAGTTCCTAGGGTTTTGTCTGCACGGGATAGATCTGCTTTGCTATGTCCCTAGCTCCAACCCTCCCAGGAGCACATCTCAGCTGTCTACCCCAGCCCCGGGCTACCAGCCAAAGCTTCCCAGCGTACCTTCTTGATATAGGCAGCAATGTCCTTCTCTATGTTGTACTTCTCCATGGCCTGTGTGGCGCAGTCAACAGCATCCTGTTGCATGTCCTCAGACATGTCTGCGTTCTTGATCACTGCCTTCCGGTCAGACATCGTGGCACTGCGGAAGGAGCAGAAAAGTGAGGCTGATTGCCCATGGTGTGGACAATTAATGTCAGCTCTAGGTGTGGGGACTCAATGAGAGAGGGGAATGCAGGAGGCAAGGGCAACAGAAAACACAGACATGAAGCACTAGGTGAGGGAGTTCCTAAGCCTTTAGCACAGCCACGACCCCCACCCTGGGAAATGCAGGGCAAATAATGCAAAAGACGTAATTAGTCCTCAGTTTTTGTCATCTGTAAAATGAGGTTCTGGCTTCAAATTTATTTATTTCCAATATTCTGAACAGCACTGATAGCCAAGATAATACCATCTACTTGTTCTGCCCTTGGGCAAATGACTTAACCTCCTTTGTGCTTCCATGCTATCTGTAAAATGGGGATCACAGGATTGTTCTGAGAATAAACCAGGTGGTCTAACACCTAAACACAGTAAGCCTTTGATTAAATGGCCATTAAGACATTATTGGTATCAAAGTGGAAAGGTGAACTCCTATAGGAGTTGAAGGAAGGTAAATAGGAACATGAATTCCTGTAGAAATCAGTAGGCCTGAGTTCTAATCTTGACTTTGAACTGAGGTCTTAGACAAATCATTAGCCTTTCTGCATTTGATTATTTCCATTTTAACAATGAGAGTAGCTCCTTATCTGTTGGGGTTGCAATAAGGATTAACTAAGATTATATGAGAGCATCTGTAAATAAGGACCGTCTACACAGGAATCATCAAACTATGTTCCATTGGCTAGATTTAGCCCACCATTCCCCCTCCCCCAATAAAGTTTTAAAGGGACAAGCCATACGCATTCATTTACTTATTGATTATGGCTACTTTCACCCTACAATGGCAGAATTGAGTAGCTGTAACAAAGACTATATGGCCTATAAACACTAAAATACTTACTATCTAGCCTTTAAATAAAAAGACTGCCAAATCCTGTTCTATACAAGCTACAAGGGGTAGGGCAGATTTCAGGCCACCAATGCCCAGTATGCCTTCCCTTAATACCTTAAGATACTAAGGCAATGGAGATGCTAAGATAGTCTCAAATCTGGGCAGTTGGTCACACATGACATCCCATTTCTGTCTCATCCTTTTCTCTACTTCCCCTGTCTCCTCACTACATTTATTCTTTAAAGCTCAATCTAATTTTTTTTTTTTTTTAAGTCCTAGATTTTGGACCCAGCTCCAACACTGATTTGTCATTTCCCTGGATCTTTGTTTCCTCATGTCAAATTTATTTGTTCATTCAAAGATCACTGACCTACTAAATGAGGCAAAGGCATTATCTTATTTTCCTCCCAGAAATGTTATTCTTTCCCCTGAACAAAAACACAAGATTGGGAAAAACACAGCAATAGGGGTTAAAATAAAAAAGGTACTGAAGAAAGGTGTTCTTTGTTTTATTTTCTAACAGCCATGTTTCATATCCCTTTATCTGAACCATGGCATTCATGCTATGGCAACCAAAATTCCAAGGTCCTCATGGTCCTTTTCTGGGATGACAGGAATGCCAAGGAGAGTTTGCTAAACCCTTCCTGGCATTCTATAGCATGCAATGTGCTTTGCAGAAACAGAAGGGATGAGTTGCAAAATTCTGCCCTCTGTCCTTGACCACAGCCCCATCACATAGAGTAGCAACAACTTTCTCAAGACTCACCCTTAAAGTGAGTAAAAGATATTCTCTCAGCCTAGCCCTATCTGAGACAAGGAGCCTGCCTGTTTAGAGAGAGACTCCTGGTATTGTTCAGACCATCCTGATCTCTGAGTTCACATTAGCCTGTGTGCTGGATGGGCTGGAAGGGAAAGCAGAACTCACAACTACTACTTCAGCCTCGACAAAATGCAAAGAATGCACATGACAGCCACCTATCAAGTAGCCCTTGACTGCACCCAAGGCATCTTCACTGGTGCTGTCAAACTAAGCAGCACAGAGGTCCACTTCAGCAGAGGCTGCCAGAGCCCAAGGATTGGTGGGCCAGAACCCCCTGCCATCATGGTAGGAAGAGGGGCCCTCTGACACATTCCTGAGAGGAAGAGTCAGAGCCTCAAGAGGAGGTTTTGCATACCATCTCCTGCTGAGGAAAGGTCAGGAGAACCCTGTTCAAGGCCTAACCAGCTAAATGACCTTGGGCAAGTCAGCATCTTCATTTTAAAAACCAAATGATTGAAATGAGATCAATGGGGCAACCTCAATGGGTTTGAGCAAAGGTGTAACAGAAGTGCAGAGAGAACATTCTGATACTATAAGCTTCTTTATATGAGAAAAGGAGCACCTCGTGGTGCAATGCTTAAGCGCTCAGCTGCAAACCAAAAGGTTGGTGGTTTGAACCCACCAGCTGCTCTTGGGGAGAAAAAAATGTGGCAGTCTGCTTCAGTAAAGACTGACAGCATCGGAAACCCTATGGGGCAGCTCTCCTTTGTCCTACAGAGTGGCTATGAGTCTGAATTGCCTCAATGGCAGTGACTTTGCTTTGGATTTTCACATGTGACAAAACCTAGTGTCACCTCTTGACCTATTCCAGGTTACCACTGAGAAAGGAGCACTGTTTACCAACCGGCGTGGGGGTGGGGGGTCCTGTTACAGAAAACGAAGTGGAAGTATGAATTTGGCACGGTTTTCCCAGTAAGCTCACTTGCTCCACTGCCTCATCCCCAAAGTCCAAAGGAGCAACTTTGTCACAGTAATTAAAAGGCACCTTACTCTCCAGGAGAAAGCCTGCAGTTACATAATGGTCTTGTGACTACAATGCCACGATTCTTCACCCCTGGCCCCCCAGGCGTCCGAAAGAGGCAAGGCTCAGCTCCGGCCACCACTGTCCAAGGTGCCAGTGAAAAAAGGATAGGGAAGTGCCCAGCCTAACCTCTCCCTCCTGGGGAAAAAAAAGAAATCGGCCTGAGCCTTTAAGATAAAAGAATGGCCAAGGGCCCCAGGCCAGCCGCCTCAGTCACGAGCTAGGGACCCCACTGAAAGCGAAAAGGGCACCCCAGGGCAGCTCTCGGATTTTCGACCAGGAAGGCTAAACCTCCGATGACATAGATCGTCCTCACCCCTCAACACACACGCCTCTATCGTCCCCTTCAGATCTCCAGTGGGGCTAGTTCCTTCCCCCTTGCCCGTCTTCCCGAGCGCTGCGGTCCCGAAGGCCAACACCTGGGGAATGAGAGCATCCTCCTCCCCACCTCCACCACTGCCGCCCAGCCAGGTCTGCAGCCAGGTCCGCCGCCCTCCCCCACCCAGCCTGGAGCAGCGCCGGAGTGACTGGGCTTCCTCGCTGCAGGAAGGACGCCCCAGAGGGTGGCGGCCGCGGCAGGAGGAGCCGCGTCACGCCCGAGCCCTCTCCACCCCCTCTCCCTTGGCCCCAAACACCAGAGGCCTCCACGCAGCGCCAGGAGACTCCCGGGGCGGGGGGAGCAGAAAGCGGCACCTCCGCAGGCCCAGGCCTCCAGCTGTTCCACGAGGGTCGCGAAGGCAGAGGTGGCGCAGCCTGGGCTGTGCCGAAGCGGAGAGGCGCTGCACTGCTCTGCGGGTGCCATCGACGCCGAAAGCCGCGAGACCAGAGCTACTCCAGGCCTCGGGCTCGGGGATGGGCCGGGCTTGGGGCGGGGAGGCCGCAGGGGAGCCGCGGTAAGCCCCGGGCATGTGGTGCCGCACGCGACAGCAGGGGCCACCGCCCCGGGGACGCCCCCGCCCACCGCTCACCTTCACTGAGGCGAGTATGTACTGGGCCCCGAGGGAACAGTGATGGCCTCAGGCAGAACGCGGGCAAGGGCGGTGTCCTCTGGG